CTTGTCGAAACGTTGTACATTTGCTGTCATGTTAAACTTATATTAAAGTTTTTCTTCATTACCCATTTAAGCCATCTCCAGCCATTATTAGAGGCCTATATGTTATAAAGATTACTACTTTAAGTTTAAAGTACTTGAAAGTTATCACTATAATATATCAGGAATGATTTCCCGCCAAACCCAGGTGCCATATTCTAACTGTATCTAAATTCAATTCCATTCTAATTTTCAGTAAATGTTTATTTTTTATCTACCTTTATTCATTTATTTTTTTTGTTTTCATTAAAGCAAGATTTCTAATAAACCACATTATAAAAGGAATGTTTATAAAAAAAATATAAGTGAAGGTTTTTAATTGTATTTCTTCACCTCCATAGATATTGTATCATGTAAAAAGTTAATAATACTTTTGGTTAATTTTATTGTTGTTCTAGCTTCACAGGATTAGAACATTATTTTAATCTTGTCTTCTCTAATGTGCCAAATTAGCATTACTTTCTCTTGCTTGATGATGACCTAAGTAGAGTCCAAACACTGCATGACCATATTTATAGATATGTGTGTGTATTTCTCTGTAATAAACGTTTCACAAGTTAGAAACAATTAGGTACAATATTTTGTAAGTATTTAAGTATTATTTCATGTCATGTAAACAGCCTAATTTGTATATTATTTATTAAGTTCATTATTTGCCAATCCTGTGTGAACAATTATATTATTGCAATTACTACTAGTGTATTAATACTAATAGTATTACTAGTACTGGCTTAATATTGTTAGTAATAGTAATACTAGTCATTATTTTTTATCTGTTTAGGTCCATTAACTCACAAAATTAGAAACTGCTAAAACCTAAGACTTTGGTGTAATGTTTCACTTAAACTTCCAAAAAAGTTATATATGCTTTTGCACACATAACATCGATTTTAGCACTTTACCATTCATGGTAAAATGTGTCCACTTCAGGATCTCATAGTTTTATACATTTGTTACAAATCCTAAAGTTAACTCCTCTTAGCTAGAAATAAAGGTTAAAATTCTGAGTACTTGATAGTTGTATTTTTAAGTAGACTAAGCAGTTAACTTAAAATTTTATATTGTTTGTTTTATATATATATATATTTATATATTTGCAGGTTTAGTCTTGCGTAGTTTCTTTGTTTCATTTCAGTTTTGAGATATTACTAGTAATATGGAAACATTGAACCAGGGAATCATAGAATACATGCTACAACATACTAAAGCTACCATGAATGTGCATAGTTTAGTTAGGAGGCTGACATTGATGTTTCTATTAATTTGGCTAAGCATGTGTGTGTATACATAGCCTGAAAGAAATTTTTTCATGATTTTTTATTTTGAACAATTTTTGCAAAATAAATGTTTCAAAGTTTTAAGTGGAATGAATCTAAAGCTTTATTGTGCTGATGAGTTAAATTTCTTTTCTGTTTTTATGATCATTGAAGTGTTAAGTAGAATCACAAAACTGACATTTTTCTCAGTAGATGTGCATAAGCATTCAGATTTACATAAAGGACTATGTAATGTGTGAAGTGCTAAAATAGGACATCTACAATTTTAACTATTTTTTCATACATTCAACAAAAAATAAATGTAATAAACATCATTATGATACTTTGTTTGAGTTGACAGAAAGAAGACTTTGAAATTATTATCAAATTTGCCAGGGTTAAATATGTTCCATCAACATACTTGGTTCAAAGAAAGAGAAGTGTTATCTTTAACTTCTAATGTTTCATGTAGACCTGCAGGAATGGGAATGGATGATGATATTTTGAGGTCAATTTTCACATGACGGGAATATCCAAGAAACCACACAACATGCAGTGTGAGAACAAATCTTGCACCAGCCTTGCAATGATACACCATTCTAAAATGGGTGAATTAGAATTGGCAGAATACTCAATTCTTCAGGAGTACAACACTCTTTGCCTCAACTGTATTTCTGTATATAACATTATATTTTCCTTATTGACCGAAATATCATACAGTCCAATTAAGAACATGTTCATGGGTATAAAGTTCTGCTTGTTTAAGCTGGTAAACACCCAAAGGAAAAGAACAAAAGTCATCTTCAGATAGTTTATATTAATTCAAAAGATATATTGTTACCTTTACTTGATTAAGTCTGGAGCCATTTTATCCCATTGATAGTTTCTCTAAAATGACAAACAGAACATCTGTATTCTTAAGGTAACTGTGGAATGATTGCAAGATGAATGAAAGTTTTATTTTGTTTTAAATTAGCAGTGCAGCTTATCTTCATTGATTGACAAACTGAGCATGTGGTGTAAACCAGTTGGACAAACAAGATGTCTGATTTTATGATTTTCTATACAGATTTCTCTCTCTTATTGAATATGCCACATCATTCTACCTGATGATTATACTAGTAATTTACATCTTGGTTATGTCAAGTATTTGCAATAAAAATGTTTTACAAGTTGTACTCAATTAGATACTATCTCAACAAATGACTTACCAAACTGATATTTAGGCCTCAAAAATGTCGAACGCTTTTTATAAGCAGAATGAGTCCTGAGGTGATTTGGGTTAAATACTGCACTGATGTTGAATAATACTTTCGAAGTGTGGAAAATGGACAATTATCCAAGAGATGATATCAATGAGAGACGAGAGAAACTGAGATGATAAACATGATAGGAGGTGATGTGATAAAGCATACAGATGTCCTCATATAAAGAACAATATTTGATTAAAGTCAAAGGTGACAAGTAATGAGATGAGGAAGCATTCCATAACAAGAACAGACAATGGCAGTTTGAGTGAGAGAACAATGAACAGCCTGAACCTGACATATAAGACAATCAGGGTTGGTACAATCTTATAAAGAAGAAATGGAAAGGATAGTGATTGGAGAAAACATCTGATCATTCTCTTAAGCAGTCCAAAAATAAAATCAACTGATATTAGTGATAAAAAATGTGGAAAGCATCCAGTGCAAAATGTCCAAATGACATCTCTCATAAGCAAGCAGAAAGAGAAAATATGCACTCAGCAACAGATGATATATGGAACAGGAGGCTAGACACTCAATAGAAAGCTAGCGAGAGCCTGTAGAACAATGTGGAGGTTCCACTCGGAAAGAGCAACCAGGTGAGGGGGCTAACTGATGAAGAAAGCCCCGAAAGACTTTCAAAATCAGAGAAAGGCCTGGAACAAAGCCTCTTGGTAACTGGCAATTGTCAACACAGATAAACCATTGTCAAAAAGATAGGTAAAAACACAGTAATATTGGACAAAGTAGGATGACCTGGCAGAAGAAATTGGCAAAGGGAACAGTAGCAGACCAAAAAATTAAGCATTTTTAGGGCAAGGCCATTTAGCCTTGGATTTTCTCTCATTTTCAAGGGCATCAAGGCCAACAGCTAGGGCACCAAAGCCAAAAAAAAAAAAAATCACTGGAGGGTACTAAGGCAACAGTACACATTAATGTTAACAGAATAGAAATGAGTTTTCCAATAAGTTTAGTAAATATGGCATTAATTATTTTTCATTGGGTGCTTG